TCTCTCTTGCCTTGGACTTCCTGATGGATCCCTCCCGAGCCAAAAGCCTACACAATTACAGAGCGCTTAAGATCCTCCACTCAGAATTAACAATCGTTTCGCGTACCCAATAAAATCCAGAAATAAAGATAGAAGCTGAACCAGAGAAGTGAGTGGAATGTCAAGTTTCAGCCCACCAAAAAATGCTCTTTTAGCATCCACCGCTTCACAGATTTGGTGGTACTACTATCATACTATACTATCTACTAATAGACAAGGACGGGAAATGCCTGTGTTCAAGCGTGGCAGAGCAAGACTAGCGCCGAGGTGTTACCAGTTCGGTTGCCACCAGTACTTCCCACAATATTTATAGAAATGCACTGTGTAAGCGCTTGCTGCGAGAACAACTGTAGCCAGACTGCGCCCGCTCCGGGTATCTCGGCCTATAGACAGATAAGTCGGATGGAGTGGTCGGTGTTTAGGGTGTTTAGTTGCAGCCGTCCTCTCCAAAACGACGCTAATACTAGATTAGTGCCTTCCTCCCACTTAGTCCTACCTTCCTATTCGGTTGCATCTCTGTCATACTCTTGAGCATCTACACCCACTCTCTACAAATTTACAAGTACTATGACTCTGGAGATGACCTATTGACCAAATATTCAGGCGCCTTGTGGGTGGGAGGGGGAAGCGCTCGAAAGACCTACAGTAAGTGTTAAGTGTTCTGCCCCCTTGCTCATACATGCAACGTGCTAAAAGAGCAGATCTACAGGGATGTTGGACGCTACATGTCTTTGTCCAATCATGCTAGCAACACAGCCGCCCACGGTACCCCCTTGACAAGCTGAACATACGCGGCGCAGCAGCTCGCACTGATTAGTTAAGGAAGGTCGCAACGGCCTTAATGAGGGGAGGCCCCGAGCCTTAAGGGTCATTCCGAATTATGAAGGGCAACGCAACAATTCACCACCCAGAAAGGGTTGGTAGTGAATCAAGCCCAGTGAAAGAGCAGGAGTGATATCATGATGGTAGGGTCTTTGTTCGCATGCCGATAAAAAAGGGTCTAATAGCATTTAGGGCGAGTATTACTTGCGTATATTGTCCGCCGGCGCAGATCCCAATATCGAGTAAGTCATTTCACCGGCACTATTTCTGCTTGCTAACCGACAGTAGCATTGTCGCCGTTCATGGGCTCAACCCCAAAAGCAAGAAAAATCATGCTGAGAAGACCTGGGAGTCGAATGGGAAGCTATGGCTCAGGGATTTTCTTCCCAAGCAACTGCCACGAGCCAGGATTTTCCTCTTCAGTTACAACTCTAAAGTTGCAATCCAGTCATCCGCAGCTGGAGTGCGAGAGCAGGCACATGTCCTCCTTGACCGCTTAAGACTGGAAAGAGAGGTATTCAACAACAACTGTACCACTGGATCCGTCAAAGAAGCTTACCTTGCCTGCAGAAGTGTGAGCATCGACCCCTGCTTTTCATTGCCCATAGCCTGGGAGGTATTGTTGTCAAAGAGGTATGAAGCTTCTCAGCTAGAAGTTGTTTCTGTGCTGTCTCTTATGGTTCAATGCCAGGCGCTTGTACAAGCCAAACTCAGCGCAACATATGGCTCGATATGCACGTCGACCTTTGGAATCGTTTTCTTCGGTACGCCACATCGAGGGACGCACCTGGCACGTGTGGGAGGTGTGGCTGCAAAGTTCGTGAGGGCTCTACTAGGAACAGCGAGCAATACCCTACTGAAGGCCCTTTCAAAAGGCAGCCTTTACGCCCTGGAGCTGTCTGCGAACTTTGACAAGCTTCTTGAAAACTACAAGTATCTGAGCTTTTATGAGACCCTACCATTCAAAAGCATCGGCATAGTAAGTATTCCAGGACTTGACTAGATGTTGGCACTAACAAGACACACTGCTCGAATCAGGTTGTGGAAAAGGATTCTGCTGTTCTTGGCTTGCCTGACTCCCGTGAGAAAGCGATCGCATTGAATGCCGACCATGAAGAGATTTGCAGATTTCACTGCGACAAAGACGATCGATATCAATATGTATCTTCGCTAATTGTCGAAATGGCAAACTCAGGGACGGAGACGCGCCAGTTAACCAGTTGCTTTGATGAATCGGAGTCCACCGTGGCCGATGAAGCCGACCCTTGCTTCTGTAGGTCCTATGCATTACTACATATAAGAAAATTGGAAACCGGCTTACACCAACCGGACAGGGATGATACCTTTTACACGTAATCCCGGGTTTGTCGGCCGCGAGCATACATTAAGTCAGGTTATGGAGCGTATCATGCCACTCGGAAAGGTTCATTCGAGAGTAGCCTTGTATGGTCTCGGAGGTGTCGGGTAGGTTTTGCGGTTTCTACCAGGAAGCTTTTGACTGATAAAATAACTAGTAAAACCCAGATAGCCATTGAGCTGGCGCACCAAGTCCATGAAGCCCACCCCGACGCGTCGGTGTTCTGGATCCACGCAAACAGTATCAGCCGGTTCCAAGAAAGTTATTATCATCTGATCAAGGAATGCGAGATTGAGAGTCCTGAAGATAAACCACAAGACCTCTTGCTTGTCAAGCAATGGCTAGAAAAGCAGTGTAAACGCTGGTTGCTGATCATCGATAACGCTGACGAAGCCTCACTCTTCACGTCAGATGGGCGCCAAGGACAAAGATCCTCGACCTCAGATAAGCAGCTGCAAGAAGATTCTTCTATCGTCCAGTTCCTTCCCGAAAGTCCATATGGCTCAATTCTCATTACGACCCGTAACCGAGCTGCTGGTGTCAAGTTCGTCAGGGGTATTGGCCGAAACATGCTCGAGGTGGATACTATGACCAAAGAAGAATCGAGATGCTTAATCAAATCTGCTTTGAGTGGCAATTATCCGACAGAGTCGGACATGGATGAGCTTGCAGGGCTGCTTGACTTTCTGCCATTGGCAATCATGCAAGCAGCTTCATTCATGGAAGAAAACGTGCTTACTGTGAACGAATACATTAAATTGCATAATGACAGTGACGAGACCAAAATGAGTTTACTGTGCGAGCCCTTCGAGACGTTAGGAAGAGACAGCGAAACCCCAAATGCTCTTGCTACGACTCTGATCGTTTCTCTAGATCATATCAATACAAAAGAGCCGAACGCCATCGAGGCTCTTTCTCTTGTCGCTTTTCTTGACCAACATAATATTCCATCAAGTCTGATGGAACAGAGGCTTGTCGGGCCACTTGATCTGACCAAGGCGCTGGGTACACTTAAGGCATTCTCGCTTATAATAGCAACAGGAAAGGGTCAAAACTTCTCTATCCACCGGCTTGTGCAGCTTACTGTGCGGAAATGGCTAATCATCGAGCACACCTTCGACGAAAGAGCGATCCAAGCAATGGATACTCTCGCCGAAGTCTACCCGAACGCTGAGTACGAAAATTGGGCTATCTGCGCTGCTTATTTGCCTCATGCTATATCAGTGCTCAGGTTCATACCGGAGCTGCATGGGAAGCTGCTCCGAAGGAGGCTTTATCTTCAAGAAGGGATAGCATACTATTTGTGGTCGCAGGGCCGTAACGATGAGGCAGAGAAGTTGGATCTTCTCATCGTGGAAGAGAATAAGAAGGAATTTGGTCTGGAGCATCCAGAAACATTGGAGAGCATCGCAGGCCTCTCCTCAACGTACTCCAATCAAAATCGACTTGCCGAAACCGAAGAGTTGAACTCGCTTCTTGTTACAGCCTACACAAAGCTTTACGGGCCGAACGATATCATTACCATGAGGAGTGAAAGATGTCTGGCAGCGACTTACCGGAAACAATGTCGTTTCGAGGAAGCGGAAAGCCTGCTATTAGAAGTTCTTGAAAGAGCCAAGTCCGTCTTCGGAGAAGAACATGAGGAGTCGGTATGTGCCATGGGCCACTTGGGCCTGCTTTACACTGATCTGGGTAGATGGGATGAGGCTGAAGAATATTCCATCAAGGATTTGGAATGGCACCAAAAGAATCTCGGGCCAGATAATCCCTGGACTTTGGACCTGGCCATTAATCTCGCGTCACTTCACGAAACTCAGGGAAAACTGCTTGAGGGGAAAGCACTAGGCATACAAACGCTTCAAATTTGTGAAGATAAACTGGGCCTAGATGACGAGAGAACTCGAAATTGCCAACAGCTCCTGCTAAACATTTACTTCGAGCTAGATGAATGGCAGAAAGCAGAGGGACTATGCTTACAGATTCTAGAAGAGACCACGAGAATAGATGGACCTAGTCATTTTAAGACCCTCAGCTCGAAGCAACAATTGTCCGCTATCTATGAAGGACTCGGCGACGACAATAAAGCTGAGAAGCTGGACAACGAGATAATTGACGAGTGCACCCGTACGTTCGGTTCCGATCACGCCTACACGCTGAAATTCAGTGCTTTGGCTCAGCGACGCCGAGGGAAACATGCCGAGGCAGTACAGCTGATGGCGCAAGCTATAAATAAAGAAGAAATCTTGTTAGGCGCCTTCCACGATGAAACATTGGCATCGGTCCGGATACTGAGGCTCTGGTGTGAACCCGAACGAGATATTGTTGATATCCTATTGGAAGCGGGGACTAATTGTTCATGAAAGAAGCGATGTATACAACACCAAGTAAATGTTCGGTAGTGGGAATGGCTGAAGGCAGGATCGTGGCCCACGAGTTCAGTTGGCCACCGAGGCTACATCGCAAGGCGGCCTGATATGATATGTTGTCGCCTGCATGTTTTCTCATATTTGGCTGAGAAGATGGTGATGTGGCAATTGCACTCATGCCGGCTTGCCACAGCTGCAGAAGTAAGATCAGCGGAGGCACCTGAAGAGGGAATTCCGGGGGCGGCGGCTCGGCGGCCCTCTGAGGCGGAAAAACTTTCGATGCCCGACACCCTGCATATGCGAACAGCATCTTCGAATCTCTTCTCGATCCCCCACGTTATACTACCTTGAAGGAAGGCATATATATACCGAACGAGAGCCCAGCAGGTCATTTGTCATACCAGACTTTATCAAAAATGGCTCGGGGTAACCAGAGAGATCAGGCCCGCCTAAAAAGGCAGAAAGAAGATCAGAAGAAGGTAAGATTGTTCACCGGTTCTGCCAGCCGCTTTCCACTCACTAATTCGCTTATGTTGAATAGAAATCCAAGACTGAGGTCGGCAAGGGTGGTATACTGGCTAAGAAGGAGAATGATGCTGATAAGATGAGAGCGAAACAAGCGTTGGGTATGTGAGGCTTTGGTCTGCTGTTTTTGCGCCACCCTTTGATCGCTATCTTACTGACCCTTCATCACGTTTTTAGCAAATCAGCGGAAAGAAGCTGAAGCACTTGCAGGGGCGAAGAAGAACTAAGCTAATTTGTTTTCGCCCACGTTTTATAAAGTCAGACCGGAACGTTCTACGATTCTTCGATGTCGCATAGCCCTCGTCTACGATTTTGGTTAAGCATTCTTCCAACTTGTATAAGTACATTCGGAAGGCTGTTCTCTGGGCACTCGGATTAGATATGGTTGACACTGGGACGGATCTTAGGACCTGCTATCTGACTTGGCTGGCTTTATCAACCGGGTGTACGTTGCAGATACATGTGACAAGACAATGGCATTTAGCGAGGCGTTCTATCAAGCAGCGTTTAAGTTTGCATAAAGATGGCGCATATGGTGCAAAAAACCTTTACTTTGTGAAGTTTAATACATAGTGTCTACCCTATCTCAAGCTCGGGCTGCCGTCAACTATACGGCTACCCGCCTGCTGACCAGCAACCCAGGCAGCCCTTGCTCTTTCCAAGCAGGCCTTCCACCCGTCTGCAGTCCCAACCTCAGACAAAGGCAGGTTTGCCAATGCATTCGACGACGTCTTGCATTGGGCCTTTGCTGGGGCTCCTACGCCTGTCATCATTGTCGCCAAATTCACGAACGTCCATATGCTCTCGCCTTCCCAACCCACGTCCAATGCGAAACGCAACACCCTGTCAATACTGTCTGTTCTGGTCTTTTCATCACCGGCCCAGTCCAGTAGGCGCAAAGTGAACATCCAGCCGGAAATGTCACTGGGATGTGCGATACACCAGTCCAGCACTTCTGGTATGATTGAGGCAGCTAGACGCGCTGAAGCGCCTTGATCCTCATCACCGCCCGACAAAATGTCGAGAAGCTGTCTTACATAAGTGAAGCCGTAGTAATTCTTTGGGTGTAGCTCTCCGGATCGGAGAACAACGGATAGTTCCTTCTTTAGCACCTCCTGGTTTGACACGATCTCCCTGTCATCTTCTCGCCTTATCAACCTTCCGCTGCTATCAGAAAGCATCTGCCTCAACACCCATAGCCGATGGTTATACAATGTCGGAGATTTCGTATGACGATGCAATGGAGAGCAAATGTAGGTGGTCAATAGAGACATCTCCGTGTCCAATTCACGTGTGAGCATTTCCCGACAAGTATAGCCGGCGTCCGCAGAGCCAGCGCGCTGGCGTAAAGCAGCCAGACGTCGTTTGCGCCAGCTGCATGCCGTCAGGTGTTCGCAATCGAAGAGGAGGATGATTTCGCTGGCATTCAGCAGGTCGTCTCTTCGTTTCTGTAGCAGTGATTCGTTTTGCGGAGCTTTGCGCTCGTCTTCATGACCACCGGCATCGGAAAAATAGAAGGGCTCGCTTGAAGTGTCGAAGAATATTCGTCTGGCCGTTACGAACGCCTGAACCAGGTATTTCTTCGTAATTCCGACCGAGTTCCCATCCTGTAACAGTGGACCAAGACCAGGTGGGAGGATCTCGATCTCTAGGACGTTGTTATCTTTGCGTCTAGCGGAGAATATTCGAGCGAGTTCATTGTAAGCAGCATTTCCGTCCGGAGGAGTAGACATTGAGAATCACCCGCCTTGCAGCATGGCGTACGAATCGTAGTAATGGCGGACGTTATGTTAATGTTAGAAAGGGACATGGTTTAAAGCTCCGGGGGGGATAATGAAAGTTGCCGCGCCGCGGCCGACGGGCGGGAAACAACGTGACAACGTCATTTGCTGTTCTCACTCCATTCATGGATGTCATTTCTCTTTCAGCCTCAGCCTTTCTTTCTCTTTGTCCGCTCGCTCATTGTTAAAACTTCCTCGAGCTTCTTTTGGTAGGGAACTTGCTCGTCTGAGGCAGGTCGCACGCAGTACATCTCCGCGTAAGTCGGTCGGGCTTCGTGGTCTCTTTTCCGCCCACATCTCCGGGAACCAATTCGATCTATTCCTTGTTCTCTATCCCTCCCTCCTCCCCTCCATCAATTGATCGCACCGACGTCTAGCCCATCATGCTGTCGCTTTTGTGGTCGGTTTTCTTCGTCCATGTCGCCATTTATTTGGTTAATACCATTGGCGCTAGCACGATTGATAATCTGGTATGTTTTGTCTGGGAGCTGGCTGGGTGGCGGCCGTTTAGCTGTCATGCCCTGAGCTATTCTCTTTTAGAGTTGAAGTAAAGCTAATGTGTACTTTCTAGCTATGGCTCCTCTACCTAAAGGTCCCGACCTCCACGTCGAAGAAATACAGGGAACAAAATCGACTCAAGCGCGAGGTCGTCCAGCTGAAGCGGGACATGAACAACACCAGCTCACAGGATGAGTTTGCGAAATGGGCAAAACTCCGACGGAAGCATGATAAGACTATGGAGGAATATGAGGCGATAAGTACGTTTGATTTCCGATCGCAGTTACGGTCTATATATTGGTTTGGGGTTTGGGGTTTGGGGAACTGGCTGGTTCAAGAGAGAGAGAGAGAGAGAGAGAGAGAGCTAACAAAGGCGTGTTCAACAGACAAACAACTCAGTTCGCAGAAAACCTCCTTCGACTGGGGCGTCAAAATCGTTCGCTGGTTCGGTACATCTGGTCTCAAGTTCTTCCTGCAGTTTTGGTACTCGAAAACGCCTGTCTTCCATCTGCCGGAGGGCTGGCTTCCTTACTACGTGGCGTGGGTGCTGTCGTTCCCCCGTGCGCCGATGGGGTCGGTGAGCATCCAGATTTGGAGTAATGTTTGTGCGACGGCGATTACGACTATGGCGGAGGTGGTGACGGCTGTTTTGTTGCAGAGGGCTACTGCTGCTGCTGCGCCTGCTGCGAAGAAGACACAATGAACTTATGTGTATGTATGCTATGCTAATGGATGCATGGATGTTTTGAGCTACGTGGAGTTGGATGTGTAAAAATAAGATGGTTCTTTTGGGAGATAATTGATTCATAGTTTTTTCGACTTGTATAATATAATGATGCGATGGGGGTATCAATAATGAATATGAAATGTGTTTGTTCATCAGATAAAAAAACAATCGTTTATCGTCAACGACCCCATACCGTAGTAAGGGGTTTCAGGGCTTGACTCTATGATTGGTATATCATCACACGAACAAAATCAAAACATCATCAAGAATGAAAAATGTAAAGTAGGAGTAGTAGTAGAGTCCGGCTCCTTCGACAGAGCATCTGCGACGGGAAGCCAAAAGATGAACCAAATCACCAACCAAGGCCCACAATCACCGCTTTCCATAAGCTACAGACTCGTAAAAAAAAAAAAAGAGAGAAAGAAATTGAACTCCTCGCCTCAAGAATGAGCCCCATTGAGTTACCCCCTAAATATTTCCCGACTAACGCTCCCCCGACATATTTTCAGACGTGGGAGGTCGGTTCGAAGAAACATATAGGAAGGGCAATCGCATGACTATCCAAACACGACGAAAGGCAACCCAAATAAAACCCCCCTCTCCAGCACTGTCCTGCACCAACCATTGTTACCCACAAGCCACACCAGAAGGTGGCAGCAAGTGTTCGGGTACAGAGACAAACACTAGGAGGGGAATAGGGCGTATAAGCCGCTATCGAATTGCTTCTATGGCGGCGCGTTTCCGCATTGCCTGACTGGGCCCTACAAGAGGACGTTTAGACAGTCAGGATGTCCGGGGACTTTCTCCCAAAGCTGAGGGGGGAAAGAGAGAGTCGTGAAGACTGCTCTCTGTGTGTGAGCTTTGAATGCGATTCTTTGAGCGAGGAGTTGGGAGAAGAAAGGGAAAAGAGAGGAAATTTGGACTCGGTGCGTGGGCTTTTTTTATAGCCGATTAGTCAGGGAGTGGAGCTGTGGGTCGTGGTGTCTGTCATGTGACTTTGGTTTTCTATGGTGTTGCGTGCAGTGCCTGAGGCATGTTGAGAATTTACAGTACTGAAAATGGGTGATTATGGGAAAGGTCTACTGGACAGAATCATGAATCAAAAATGGCTTGTTTAAGCGAAAATAATGTCCCTATTTTTTCATGTACAATCGATTGAACTCCGGGTAATTCTTGTTTAATGCCATAAGAAATACAAAAGTAGTATATAAACCCCCAATCCCCTCAAGCCTTAGACTTGGCCTTGGTCTTCTTCTGGACCTTCTTGGCCTTCTGGGCGGCCGGGGAAGCAGTTTCTTCGGTGGTCTTCTTCGGGGTAGACTTCTCTGTCGACTTGGGAGTCTCCTGCGCAGCAGGGGACTGGGCAGCCTTCTTAGTCTTCTTGTTGGTCTTCTTAGGGGTATCTTCAGCGGGCTTCTCAGCCTTGGGTTCCTCAACCGGGGCAGCCTCAATGGCCTTGGCAGGTTCTTCAGCAGCAGGCTCAGAGGCCTCGATGGCCTTGGCCTCCTGGACAGGGACCTCATCCACGCTCTTCAGTTGGGGGATGTCGAGGTCGTAGCCCATAATAGCCTTGAGCTTCTCAGCCTTGGCAAGGCGTCTCTTCTGCTCCCTCTCGATGCGCTCTGTCCACTGCTCTCTCGTCTTGCCCTTGTCCAGACGCTTCTTCTCGATGCGGTTCCAGGGGGTGCGCTTGAACCGTCTGTTGGCGCCCTTCCAGACCTCCGGGTGGAGCTGTTCGGGGGACACGTATTTACACTTCAGGATGTGACCGTACATGAGGTAGTTGTCCATGGTGGCAGCAACAATCTTAGCGACAGAGGTATGGGCGAACTCGATGAAAGCATAGTGCTTGGAGCGACCGGTGATACGGTTACGGGAAAGACGCAGGCGAGTGATTTCACCGAACTGGCTGAAGTAGGCGCGCATCTGGTGCTCGTAGAAACCGTGGGGAATGCGTCTGTAGCATAGCGTGTTAATAGAGTCACAACCGAATTTCCTGATGGGTCAACTTACCCAACGTAAACCGTTCCAGGCTCCTCAACGTGACCGGCATTCTCCTTCTGCTTCTTCAAGATCTTGCGCTTGGCCTTCTTCGAGTCGGGGATCTGAGGGACCGGCTGGTCGGGGTTGAAGCCTTCATCGCCGGACTCATCCTCGTCACCACTGCTCTCGAAGCCCCTGATAAGGGCAGCTGTACGGTCATCCTCCTCATCCTCACTCTGGCTAGCATCCGAGGCGGCGGACTCATCTTCCTCCTCAGATTCTTCAACGACAGGCTCTGCCTTCTTGGCCTTGGTGTTGGCTTTGGCGGGCTTGGATTTTGTCGCGGGAGCAGCTGATCCGTCCTCCTTCTTCGACTTCTTGGTGGTAGGCTTCTCCTCCTTCGCGGCCTTGGGCTCAGCAACCTCCGCCTCGGACTCACTGTTCTCGTTGTCGCTCAGGAAATCGGCCGCACGCTTGCGAGGCTTGATCTGTCTGGCGGGCTGGCCATTGGCCTTGGTCTTCGAAGCGCCATCGGTCTTTGCAGCCGCCTCTTTTTGGTTGGCCTTCTTGAGGATAGGCTTGGGGGCGTCCTTGGGGGATTCGGCAGGCTTGGCCTCGACCTTCTTGGTCTTCTTTGCGGGCGAATCGGCGGCAGTGGCAGCGGCAGCTGAGCAGCGTTAGTAGGCGCACCAACGGGTTGAAAATGAAAATCTCTCAAACGGTGTAACAATACATACCCTTGCGCTTCTTGTCCTTCTTGTCGGGGGCCATCCTGCTGTGATTTTTGGGGATAATTGCAGGCGGTTCCTGGGGGACTACAAGCGGAGGATCGCAAAGGTGCGGGAAACTTTTTTTCTGCTCGCAATTTTTCGGGCGCCAAGCGGTGAATGCAATCCAGCCCGGCCGACGGGGCCTCGCCGCAACTCCAACTCTAAGCTCTTGTTTCTCCGCAACCCAACCATCTCACACGCCCGTTTGTTTGCGCGCATTTACCGGGGTCATGGGGAAATCGGCCAAGGCGAATAAACCCCTCACTCAGGAAGAGATCTGGGACGATTCGGCCCTCGTCCAGAGCTGGGATGAGGCTGTCGAGGAATACAAAGTATGGGCTTCCTCCTCGTGCACGTGATCCGCTCGCTGACCAGAACAACAACAGCTCTACCACAGCATCCATGCGAAGGGGGAGAATGTTGAAGATGTCCTGAGAGAAGCGGAGGCTGCTGAGAAAGCTGAGATGGAGCAAGATGAGCAGCCGTTGGACGAATTGGCCGACCGCATGGATGCTGACGTCGACGCCGACACTGCTGCCAATGCAACAACTCCAGCGGAACCTCAACAGGTGCCACAGGCCAAACTGTCGCAAGTGAGTTGCTCCGTTTGCCGGGATGAATTTTGTGGACTGACTTTATTTCAGGCTGCGGAAGGGCCGGAACAGCCCTCTGGACAGGGTGCCCATGTCACTGATCAAACGGCTGGGCCCAGTGCCGTAGGAGCACCTCCTATGCCTCATGCCACCCTATCCCAAGGTAAGATGCGCTTTAACCCTTGTTTGCTGTGGAGAAATCTGACTCTCTCTAAGTGCAAGATGAAGGACTCAAGAACCTCATGATGGCATGGTACTATGCTGGGTATTACACTGGTCTATATGAGGGCCAACAGCGAGCGAATCAGAACAAGAGCTCATAACCCAGCTGAAAGTATAGTAACGAAGTGACAAGCATCTAACTGCGTTGTTCGCAATCCTGGTAGGTTGCATTGAAGTATGAGCACGGAAAAGCTAAATCCCCAGGACAGCGGCAGGCGCAAACAACATCCCGTCTGGGTACAGGCCAGGATTAGATGAGAATCCCTCCCGGCGGCTGTAGATGGGCATGCACCTAGTTTGGCATGTTACCTGAGTAGGCGGGCTTGTTGTTGGGCCACAATCACCGGTTGCGACCTTGAAATTTTACATGAAGACTGTGGAACAACGCTGCGTACATGGAATAATGCGCGGTGGCCTTGCTGGCGGCCTCACCCTGGCCCCTTTAACTTCGTGCGGTCTAGTCATGTCTATTTGCTACTGTTTACTAGAATTGCACTTTCGGGAGCTATATATCCCAATCCTTCTGCCCATCTTGTTTGTTCCTTGATCTCCAGGATTCTTCTTCTTCTCTCTCTCTCTCTAGTGTATATATATATCAACCCCCTCGCGGACAGTTGGAGCTATCATTTATACGTCCCATCTTCTCTACTAAGCGCACTCTCAAGGAGATAGAAGAGACCTTCAAAGTATCATGGTGTTCCCACTTCAGGACTGAGAGCACCAATCTTTCGACCGTATATTGTGGGCTCTGTGAAAAACCTCATGTTCCCCTATTTTGTCCATGAAAGGAATTCTCGGATGCTGTCGCCCGGTGAAGCCTGGTATCCCCCAAGATGTTAGAAGCATATATATAACCTACTAAAGAGGTGAGAACATGAGACATAGGGTTTTTACATACAAAATTATTGACTGTCCGTATAGGCTCCATCAATGTCTGAATGAGGCGAGGATTGTATCCAAAATTGTGTGAGGGTCTGGAGGAAGCGAACATCTTAATATATGTGAATCCCATCCTCAAAGGCCAACAAGTATACACTATACACCATGATGGTTTCCAATAATGTGTTACCAAAACCACCATTGCCCATCGTTCGACAGCCATCAGTTTCGAGGATCCAAAGTATTCATTTCAAATTCCGGACCTTCCTGCTCAGTAAGTCACGGCCTCTCTCATTTGCATGGCTTACGCGACTAACATGGCTCTGCAGGTCAAAGATACCAATCACAGAGCGATCACCTCTGCTATCACCTTCGCCAACTAGCTGCGACAATCGAGCGATTCTGATCAGTTGTTGCCCTGCGTTGGGGCAATTTTCATACAACCTGGTTCTCCTTCAGTGACCCGCAAGATCCCAATGAGGTCCTGGCATAGGCTTTCGAGCATCTTGCCATTCCCAAATTTCATGGACGGTTCCTGTTAGGCCTGGAAACCATGGCGGCCTGCGCTACGTGTTGATTGAGAGCGAATGAGGAGAAGGCCCAAAGGAGCCTTTGGGGAACTTTCTCAGGGTAGATGGGAATAGATCAGGGGGCCACTAAATGTCGTCTTGCCGCCAATACTTCATTTCTTGCTGCCAATACACTATCAATCGGCTCCTCTCGCTGAACACAATTGGACAAGATCTTTACCAGGCCATCAGTGTATGGAGATGGAAGCACTGAATCACTGGGAACTTTATTAATTTATCCAGTTCATGTCCCTGAAGCAACCTATTGCCTCACTCATGTCACCTGATCTATCAGCCTATAGTGCATACAACAACTTCGCAACAACAGTCTTCTTGTCCAATTTCTCTGACATACTGTGGCAACTATAAGAGCAAGGGAGAAACATGCTTGTCCACGATCCCGATACTATTCTGGTTGGACCCTAAACCTTGTGTTGTCATCCTATTATCTCGAGAATCTCATGTTGTCGTTGATGTCCCCCTTCTATACAACAGCATCACACGAACACGTCATGCTGCAACCCGCACCTATTCTTCCACTTGTGACTTTGCTTTTCATTAGCGCAGCTTGACTTACGAGTAGAGTTCCCGAGGCCTCCTCAATGCGCCGCCGATATGTCCAGCCCGATCAACTTTGACTTCACTTAGCCAAATCATCAAACATCGCAGATATAGCACGAAGAGTTCATGGTTCAGCCCTCCTCATTATCGTTCGCATAAGCTTTCTGATCTATGATCCAGCCGCTTCCATTGATGCTGGTCATGTCCGCTCAACAACGGTATATACCCTACCAAAGCAGCATCGAATTGGTGTCAGTATCATATGTTCCCGATCCCTTTGCTTGAACAAGAGACCTATAATTCCATCAAAGCTCACTTACGGCACACGACGCTTCCACTCAGGAACTTACTGTCTCGTTGCAGATCGATTTCGCTCCTGCAATTTCCGGTTCCATGCCATTGGTCCCAATGGCTACGAGTGCGAGGCCCTTTGTGTACAATTTAGTAAAGCGAACATCCGAAAATTCCACGAACCCAAGGCTTCGCTACTAGCTGGAAAGCCGTGCTGCGCGTATCTGTCTCTTCCAGCTTCTATATAACGGAGAAATCGTCGTCTCAATGGTTGATCTCATGAGAAGCTATTGATAAAGCGCTTAGTGGCCATCCACTTCGAAACATTTGCACAACGCTATCTGGAGATAGCCTCAGGCGTTGCCGTATCCGCAGCCACGGAGATGTTCGAAGCCATCCGCCTCCAGTCCGTCGAAAGAAAGATTAATAGTCCATCACAGAACGTCTATGCCCGTGTCTCAGCAGGAACGTGAGCAAACGAGAACCGGATGACTCGTGGTCAGTCTCTGTGACTGCTCCCGAGCCTACGATATCACATCAACCATGTCGAAATCAGTCTTACAAAATACCTTGATATTAAGTGGCTGGAACCCAAACCCCTCCAACAGAAATTCGCAATCACGGGACTCATCTTGCGTTCAAAAGAGCCAAAGCTACAAAGATCCTGCATCACACAGCACATGCAAGAAATCGAAAACCAAATCCTGCGCATGCGAAGGCGTTCCAGATCCACTCATTGGTCATAACAAGCCCAGAAACAACCCCCTTCATCACCTTTCGGGCATGTCGCTACCTTGGCCTTTGCATGGCGTCTTTGCTAGACAAAATGAATACAAAGGACTTCAGTGGGGCATGCATCCGGCTTCGACCCCTCTTCTTCGGTATACTCTACCCTGGTTATATATCAGCCGAAGGTAATGGGCATCCCATGTCATGAAGCGTACAACCTCTACAGATAAATGCTCGCCGGCTTAGATGCAATGTATTTGGAAAACCCCGAGACTTCAAAACTCTCTGTACTTCGACCTTGCTTATTATCTGGATGGCCATAACCTTGGGAGTGCTGTATCAGACCGGTCTCGCGTCGAGAACAAGGTAGGTGCTCCTATGAAATAAATAGCTTCTGCTGTCTTGTTCCGACTAACCATATGTTTGAGCACCGTCTGTGATTGGGACTGAACGAAATGGTGCGGAGATGAACGAAGTGCTGTCCCGGGTATTGTTGCTCGCCACTATTTTATGGTGTTATCCATCGACATATACGAATACGTTAACATCCTTGTTTCCATTTTCTGATCAAGAGCCCCCTTCTTCTGTGATCTATCTCTACGATGGATACCCTGCATCTCGTTCTGCTGGATAACTAGCAGACTACTACGTCTTTAACAGTCTGTTGCTCGGATGGATCACCTCGTGACGTCCATCCATTCTTATTCTGAGTGTACCCTGCGCAACGTCTTCCAAATTGCCCTCTCCGCTGTACTTAGATTCTCACTTCTCGTTGTTACTTCAAGATCCAAATAAAGCAGATATATATGAAGCCTATACACCGTCCTGAGCAATGGCCATGAACCCCTCAAAACCACGTGCTTGATTCACTACGAGCTAGCGAAACGCTACTCAAGTGTTTCAGTTTAGTTTGATGATTTTGATTTCATTCAATGCATCTAGCTAGCTACACTAAACCCATTACTATTGTTTTCAAAATGATAAAAGAGATTTAACAAAGATAGACTCAACGCAGTCGAGTCCATCCCAAAGATCTTTTTTTTCTTCCTTTTCTTTCCGTCCAAATATCAAACTGCCAATACGCATGCATGCACGTAGAAAAGAAACATACATGAAAGCGACAGCGACAATGATGACACACTACTCTCCCATCCTTAAAAGGGAAGGATAGATGACTTAACCCAACAGTCCTCCAGTAAGAGAGCCAGACCCACCACCGCTCAACAATTCACCCACGAGAGGGATCTTCGAGAGCGGGTTGTCATTCACGACGTGCGAGGAGGCGGTCGCGGGAGCAGAGCTAGAGGTAGAGGGTGTCTCCTCAGTAGAGGTAGGGGTGGTGGAAGAGGGCTCAGTGTTTGCCACCTTATCCTCGGTCTTAGGGGCAGTCTGGGACTCGGTTGCGTGCTTGGTGCCAGTGGGAGAGGGCTTGTTGTCGGTGGTACCGCTGGGGGTGGGCTTCTTCTTGTCATCGTCGTCGTCCTTGCCGGCTATTTGGTCGAGCATCTCGCTAGCGGACTATAAGATTGTTACGTCAGTGTCTGGATGAGGTATATGGGGTAGTTGAGGAGAGAGGGGATGAATTACCTTAAGGGATTGTTCGGCGACCTGTTCGGCGAGAGTACCATCTAGCTCGTTGCCGTTAGAGTCCTCCCGCTTGACGGGCATGGCCGAGACCATGAGGGCCAGGAAAAGGCAGAGGACGAAGATGGAAAGACTGAGACGGGCCATTGTGATGATGATGATGTGTGGGTATGTGGAAAGGGGAATAGATTGAGAATTGAAGTGAGATAAATAAATAAAGAGTGTGGTTAGGCTTGATAGATGAATGTAGATCGATCTATAGCCAAGTGTAATTGATCAAGATTGCAAATAGAAGTAAGGTAGTAGTAGAAGAGGAAGGATAAGTATGAGACAAACGACCAGACCACTGCAAAAATGAATCCGAATGCTCGCCTGGTGTGCTACGGAGCTGACCTCGTGGGCATTTTTATATTTGTCCTTGGCTCCCAGGTTCAACAGTGGGTTGTCTGGCATTCCCCTGGTTGGGAGGAGAACGAAGGGACCGCGCCCACTCGCGATGTACTCAAAACATAGATGATCCGCGTGGCTCATATTTCGGGAATCCAAGGGCTTGGTCGATGGTGATTTTTGTTTGGCCGGTTATCCCGTGGTGTACCTTGATGGACGCAAGGGGTGCTCAAGGCGGCGCATCCTCATGTAGGAGGGTGGAGGGTGAAAGCTTGATGGGTACGTGGATCGGCAAACCGGCACCAAGAAGGGCACATTCCCGGGGACAGAGTCGTACACAATTGTCTGATATCCTTGGTTTATTGCGCGGCATGGACTCCTCCTAACCGTTCTGCAGGAGAGCCGCGTGTGCATCCAGGATGCATGCTTGACAGCAGCTGCGAGACTAACGCGTCTGTTTCACGTTGACAGGAGGGTTATTCTGCTGGATAATGAGAGTTAAATCAGCATGGAATGGATCGCATTCGATGAAGGGCGTTCTCCTTGTGGCAGAAAATTCATCGTGGAATGATCAGTTTGAGGTTGTGCAACAGTCGCGTACTTGTTGTTGCCAGGAGGTTCGAAACAGTTTTAAACCAACGGCCGAACTACAAGCATTAACCCCAAAGTTATTTTGCATACTTCCTTACTGATCGGATCTTCCAGTTTTGTTAGCTGGCTGGTGCAGAAGGTGGTCATTCAGTTGTTAACAACAAATTGTGCAATTTGATAGAGCATTATTTCACTACTTCAGAAAATACAAAAAAAGCTTATACTATTAGCGATTTGTATGGTGCAGTAGCAATGTGAAGTGGGATATACTCACCAAAGGAACTCAGGTGTTTGTTCGTTTCTGTAACTTCCCTAGTCTAGACGCTTCCCCTCCGAAAATCGTCAAGTGATCCATTAATGGCGCAATGATCGACTGATACGCCTTGGATATGTCAACGTTGTCAAGAGTACAGTTCGGCCAATTCAGACATCGATCTACCACTTGGCGATATCTATATCCGCTTCGCACCTCTACCTGTGGTAGGAGACGGAGTGCCGTGTTGCGACTAGCCAGGATCTGCACTTGATCATGATCTTCTTCGGTCTGCAACTCCACTAGATTTTGACACAAAGAAAGCTCCACCAGCGCGATCCCCAAGTAGATGAAAGGTCCGCCTGCCGGTTCCTGGCTTTGCTGCAGCTGTCTGACATTGCTATTCAGGTTCCATTCGACAAAGGATAAGTGTATCGCATGCGGATCTGTGGGGATTTTGATGTCCCTGACTCGCCACTGTCTTGGTAGCCAATTCCCCTCAAATTGGAAAACAGTGCATGCAAGATTCACCGCGAGCTGTAAATGCATTCCAAAATCCAGGATGTATCGGGCGCCAGTATAATACCGAGGCGAGGTGGATGATATTGCAATTAGCTCTTCGAGAGTTTGTAACTGTATGTTTTGTACGCTCTCTGCATTGCTTCCCAAATGGTATATTTTATGTTTGTGCTTTTTATCGGTCACATACCCGAGAAGCTTCCGTTTCCCCTCATTGATATCGTTGGCCGACAGTGAAGTGCATATATCAACGATCTGGTGTGCGGCGGATAGATTTTGGATCTCAATGATGGTTCCTTGTACGGTACTTGAAGATCCTTGGGCAAAGTTAATATTCGGTATGCTTCTATTGATGACCGAACCACGTTGGCTTGACGTAATATGGCTATCATGGAACGGTTTCTGCGAGGGACTATGCATGTCTGGTTCAGCCTCGATATCGCGCCAGCGGCCCGGGGCTTCCAGAGCCATGAACCCTATCTTCAACCCAATCGCCAATCGAAACTTGGGGTTGGGGGAACTTTGGCTCGACGAGTCACGAGACCATGGGGATGTCGAGCAGTCAAAGGTAAAGCAAATGCTGTGCTGATCTCTGCAAAGACACCGCCAATAATCTCCATTGATGATCGCATTATGCAGGCTACTTGCTAATTGACGGCCTATTCGGTGTCGCCCCAGCGATCCATTGGGTAGGGCCCTTCTTGCGTCCATCTCCTGAATTTGCTTGGACTGCTCCACCAAGGTCTTTAGATCGCTGTTAAAAGACTTGATCTGCTCGAATAGGTTCTTGTAAACGCTCTGTAGGGCGAAATGACGAAGTTTCATGAGCTGTTCTTCTAGGAACTGAAAGCTGGTTTCGTTTGCCTACCAGGCACGTGGATATGGTCAGCGGCTTGAAAGCCTCATGAAGAAAGTTGCTTCACTTACAAAGGATCTTTCAGCATTACCCCCCAGTTTCTCGAACAGGTTTTGTAGCAAGTCTGACAGACGTTTTAATGTTCTCGTAAATGACTCATAACTATCTCCAAGCTTTTGCCTAAGCTTCTGCTGTACCTCTCGATTTTCCCAGAATTCGGGGGAGCCGCTCATCCAATCTCCATATTCATACTCAATGGTTCCATCCACAGCAATCTGCAATGTATTGAGAAATATAACCTTTTGAGTCTCCAGAATGGTACGATAGTCATCCATTTCTCGCCAATAGATTTTCGATCTGAGGTGTGTCATTCTCTGGAATGCTAGGACATAATTGTCGAGCTGGTTTAACAGCAGTGGCAGAATTGCCAACACGAGACTGGCAGTTTCGATCCCGGTCACCATTTTTGAAGTGCCGGACTTGTTGATCGCAACGTGAAATAGTGCGACTTCAGGACAGGCGAGGCTGAGGATTCAACGAGTTCGATACATGAGCCTCATACCCCGCCCTCTGTAATACATGAGTTGCTCACGTCAGGTTGGCGCTTGGAAGAGCCTTCTTTCGATCATGCAAATTTCAGGGCAGGTAATTTGTCCACACAGCATCGAAAATGGCGGTGGCTATCTCATCATTCATTTTCGCGACTATCAAAGAGTTCAATTCCCGGATATTAGACGGGCTTGGGCCGTTCGACCATAAGGTTCCAGTGTCTCTCTGGAAAGATGAAATCGGACGGTTGCGGATTTGGGCTGACGACGTTGGAGCCCAGCGAGATGGCTACTTGTCCCTGGACTACAGACTGCGCGATTCACTTCACCTCAGTAATCAGGTCTTTCAACTCCTGATGCGGCTTCGAAGGGGTCATAGAGATATACAAAAGATCTTGGTGAACGTTGCACTTAGCCAGGATCTTACGGATCCCGGTGAAGGAAATCTAGCTAACCTCGAGTCAATTTATTACTCGGTGCATAACATAGTAGACTGCCTCTATCAACTATCAATAGCAATCCGCCATCCAGCCAGGCATGACTATATTCTTGGGATCCAGGTGTCTGATATAGTCGAACTCGAGCTTTTCGATCAAGAGCAAGTTCTCAGCAGGTATCCCGAGGCACAAAGACAAATTGCCAATCAGCTTGGAAGAGCAATATCACTGCGTCGGGTGATTCTGCGGGGCCGAAAGAGACATCATGAGGAGCTCGCTATGAATATGTACCGGGCTCTGTACAGTGAGCCTGACACGGCGTTCACGCACTTCAGGCAGATCAGCTTACTGCATTTTGGGCCCGAAATGAGCTCGGACGGCTTGAATTACTCTTATGCGGCAATACTCGAGCGATGGGATCATGAAAAGGCATTGGCTTTCTTCCCCAGCCATTCAGCTCATACAGAACCAGCTAAGTGCCCTTACTGCTCTTTCATCATCACCACTAGCAGTGAGCGGGATTGGGCCCAACATGTCCTTGACGACATTATGCCGTATGTCTGCGTTTTCCCGGATTGTCCATCGTCGCTTAGACTATATGAAAATCGGCAGGTATGGTTTGAACACGTGCAGCGTCATTTCACGCTGTTTGGTGCTATTGGCGAATTAAAGTGTCCCTTATGCATGCTGAGCATGAAGACCGAAACAGAGTGGGAGAGTCACGTTAGCGAACATCTCGAGACTCTGGCACTGATTGCACTGCGTCCACATCCGATAGAGGTCAACAAACAAGCATTCATGGGTAACCAGGTCTACGCGGGATACGGAGCGGATGCAGGTGCTTTCGATCAAGGTATCGGAGCGAGCATACTAGGCCACGGCGAAGGTTCTTCCGACTCAACTAAAGGCAAAAGAAAGATGCAGGCCAGAGATCAAGATTTCGAAGAGTGGCCTATATCAGGTGCAGATCAGCTTCCTGGGTTTGGTTTAAGGGATGCATCAGAACTGAATTACAGGCCAGCCGTGAAAGCTCGTAATGAAAAGGTGCCAAAAAACCAGTGAAGTGAGGAAGGATACCTAGTTTATTAGTTGATTCTGATGGTAATGCGGCAGCAAATGCAATGTGCCAGTTCCTTTCTGTCAGCAGTGTCTTTAACTATCTGTACTTCCTGCTAGCTAATATAAAGTCGTCTTGCTTAATCTTTGCGGCCATGCCTGTGTAATAGTGATTACTGACGAGCTGAAAATACCAAGACAGCAATCATGAATATAAACTGTTTTTCGTGAAATTTTTCAATTTCCAACTAATTCTTAACCTGAACTACAAATGAGCCATGCAACCAATTTACCAAGCATGATCAGTAGATTGTATGTACCTCCCTACTTTGACACGTACCACCCCATACAATAAACAGGCGGTCGCAACACGAGGGAGAGATTTAAGGACGTATGTTTTGTCCAAAGAATCCGATCACTCTTGGCACGATTTTGACCTCGACGAATCATGGGGATACGACGGACAAGGCTTCGAATGTGCCGATTCCTTCCTTTCTTCTTTCCTTCCATCCTTCTATCACTCACTCGTCATCTTCCCAGTTATAGTAATGATATAAAACCTATAGTTAGTTCAACATTTCGATAAATTTGAGCAACAATGAAAGGATAATATCACTAGCGAGGGAAGCTCATTTTCTTCCTTCGCCAATCATATCCAATCAACGATAGTATGATAACCATCCATCCCCAAAAGGATAGACAATTCGATAGATGATAATAATAGTAAAATGGTGTATGCTCAAAGCGAACCCAAACGACCCCGTAAACAGTTGTCAGGCAATGGGATTAGAACGAGCATAAATATCACTCTCGGTCTCAAAGCTAAAATTTGCTAGTGGAATGGAGAGTTTATCCATCAACAAGGGTATGTTGGAGACCTTGAAGAGGGAAAAAAAAAAAAGAAGAGAGGGGAGGAAAGGAGATTTCGCGAAAATTTATTTATCTCGGGCGGTGGAGTGAGGTGCTTAGTAAGCTGTGCTGTAGGCCCCACCCCCAGCCATCGGGTTTATCAATTAGTATTATTGCAGCGGGTTGGGATTAAGTATTGGATGGAGGGGGGGGCGTATCTGTGTGTGTGTGTGTGTGACTTTGTGTGTGTTTTCTGCTTAGCTGGGATGTCCTGGTTGTATTGGACTGGGATGGTGTTTTTGGGAGGTTGGACAATCGGGCTATACTTGGGATGCTACAACAAGCTGTGGTACTGGGCACTGCATTATATGTTGTTTGCATGAATGGGATATACAATTTGCATTACTATCATCTCAGAGCTAGCTATACCTCTTAAAACCGTGCGAGAACCCTCTCCTGCGTATCGCCCAATGCCCACGTGTCGCTGTGGTTCTTGCTCTGCACGGACTTGGCCTGTTCCGCCGTGAAGCCCTTGGCCTCCACGGCCGGGTTATAGCCAAGCCCCGAAATCTTAGCAACGACGTCAGATGGCACCGGTGTAGCAACCTTGCCATCTGCGCGCTTGTACACCGTTACGACAACGGCACCGCCCAAGCCCAGGTTGTGCTGGAGTGCGGCATCAGTTCCATTGACCAGGCGGTTGTTGGCCCAGCCGCGCAAATGCCAGACCAGCTCTGCACATTGCGCCAGACCCGTGGCGCCCAATGGGTGACCCTTGGAGATGAGACCGCCCGATGGGTTGATAACCATCTTGCCTCCGTAGGTGATGTCTCCCTTTCGAACCATTTCGTGAGCCTTGCCGGGATCGGAAAGCTCTAGGGCGTCGATGGTGATCATCTCGTTGGCGGAGAAGCAGTCGTGCAGCTCGCAGACCTTGATGTCCTTCACGTTGACGCCAGCTTCTGCAGTCGCGGCGCGGCATGCCCCGCGGGACATACCGAAGCCCATCAAGTCAATGGAGCTGCGGTTGTAGAGCGAGCTGTTGTCCGAAGAGAGCTGCTGGCCCGCGATGAGGATGGCCTGATCCTTGAGATGCGGGCGTGCATCGAGGAATGCTTGGGAAACAATGACAGCGGCGGCAGCTCCATCCGACGTCGGGCAACACTGCAGCTTAGTGAGAGGTTCGTGGATCTTGGGCGCCTTAAGAATCTGCTCGAGTGTGTATTCGTCCTGGAACTGAGAGTATGGGTTGCGCTTCGAGTGCTCGTGGTTGATACGAGCAATCTCGGCAAAGTCCTCTGTCTTAGCGCCGTATCTAGTCCTTGTTAGTACTCGTACATGTGAACAAACGGCGTAAGCAACTTACTTCTCCATATATTCACGTCCAGCATTGCCAAACATTTGTGCAGCACCAGGAGCATTGGTGACTCCCCTAGTTTCTGCCATCATGGTACCGAACAGTCCAGTAGGATTGGCGCGGTCATTATAGACTGACTGCAGACTTCCAGGGCTCATCTTCTCGAAACCGACGACCAAGACACAATCAGCAGCTCCATGAGAGACCATGGTGCGAGCCATGGCCAGGCCGGTGGATCCAGTGGAGCAGTTGTTGTTGACATTGTAAATGGGGATCTGGGTCAGACCGAACTGATAGAACACGCGCTGACCGCAAGTGCTGTCACCGTAGACGTAGCAGGCGACACCTTGCTCGACGTCGTCGTAGTTGATATGCGCATCCAGCATGGCCTTGACGCCAGCTTCAAAACCAAGCTCATGGTAATCGACCTTGCCGCGTGGTTTGATGAACTTGGTCATTCCCACGCCAAGGACGTAGGCGGGACCAGATGGCTTCTTTCCCATGGTGGATAGAGTCTCGTAATGGTTCGTGATTTTTCGTTACTTGGTCGTAAGAGAAGCTGCAAGCTTGCAGGAATCTTGTTAATGGATATTTGGTCTGTGAGTCTAGAATTAGAATACGGGTGCAACGTTAAAATAAACCCCTGAAGCACATGGGGATAGCAGCGGAGATAAACTGAAGACCGTTGGATGCGGAGAGGTCCCTTGCGGGGAACCGTGCCGACCGAGGTCCCGAGGATAAGCTGACCCCAGTTGTTCATGCACAACCACTGCATTGTGTTCTTATGCAATCGAGTCGATAGTTCTGGTCGATAATCTCTTCGGATAGCCCTGATGTTTATCTTAGTACTATCCAAGCTTTGGGTAAAAGATGTGGACATCGGCAGATGCACATCATCACTTCATGTTCATCCCATGTGAAGCCGGGCCGTCTCAATGTCCCCAACAAGTCTGTCCCGAGGATGTCAAAGGCTAGGATGAGCGGAATGAATTATGCAGCTCCGAGTGCCAGTGAGCATTATTCTGTAAGCATTCCTCTCATTGACAGGGGAGGAAGTAGTGCTGTTGATGGGCAGTCCTGTATGGGTGGACTCCACCATTGCACAACATCAAAGTATATACTGACAACCCGACATGCACTGGGCATCCACAAATCATCCCTGACAACTCGGTGCCCATGAACTATCTGCTGATGCACCACGAAAGGGATACTGTGTACTACAGTGTATGGACAGTACGGTAGCTACTGCCATATGTGGGGTATTGAGGGATGCTGAGATCGACCGAATCCTGATCCATGCATATCCATCCATCCCGGGGACGGCCTCCCGTGGATCAACAATGAGTTCTGACCAACAATGCACCCATGGTTAGTCCACTCAACGCTGGAACACATCAGCAGGACGAGGTTTATTTCCGCTAAGCCAATAGTGCTGGCACAATACATCGCTCGAGAACAATCGAACTTGGCCGTATTACGACACCATTCTCAGGATGGGTGGCACTGGCACGAGAGACCATGGTTGTCCACCGTCGCCCTTAACTTGCCCAGAGATGACTGGGAACGTTAATTCGCTCGTACCGCGGTATGCCACTGTTCTTCTGGCCACATGTTGTTGGAGCTTGATTTCCTGCCTTAAAAGTATTCACAGAGTTGGGTCAAGAGCAACAGGAGATGCCACGCGCAGGAAGTAGGAAGGGATACGTCCATCATTGGAAAATGACTTATCCCGCCCGCTTTGCATGTGAAATCGCTTGCTATTTGTAACTGCGCAGTACTAGTAGTATACCAGTCAGGACCGTCAGAAGACCTTTGACCACTCGTAGCATTGATGTTACCAAGTACTTCTATTAGTGTCAACCAAGACATGCATGCACCGGTCGAGGTGGACCGACACTCAATGCTGTAGAGAGCTGCGGAATGCCATGATTGGAGGCGAGCAGAGAGATGTACCTGGCTTCCACAGCCATATCCAGTTCCAGACGCATCCCGCCCTCCTTCGTCCATCTGCCCGTCCGCCGGGGAGGAGCCAATGACTGCGGACTATGCAGCAAGCGTGGCCATGAGGGAGAGTGTTAATCCGTGAGCATCCGCCTGATGAGTGGCTCGTCAGGCAGAGCGGGTACCTCCAACCGCCGGACTGGCTTAGTCCGACGCAAGCTCCCTTGCCACGCCTCCCTCTTTGGGTTTAGCTCCCCAGTTCGAGGTTCGAGGGTGGATTCTCGGCAACAAAAGAACCAATACGGAAAAAGTCACACATCCCGGAGCACTTGTCACTTGTCAGAGCTGAGGTTGCGCAAATGGGTTTGGAATGTACATTGTACCATGTCTCGTAAAGGAGGATAGTTTGATCGGTTGCGAGTAATAGGCGCGCTTGCCCTCTGGCAGAGACATCCGTCAAGTTTTCTCCCTGGTGGTCGAAGTCGTACTAAACGTATCAAAATACTCGGTTTGTCGCACTGGATGCTTTCACAACGACGTCACAGCCCGGCTGCCACTAAACCGCATCCAGAAGCACCGCCCACATGCCTCGTTGTTGTTTGCCTGATTCTTGGGGAAGATTCCCTGCCTTAGTCAGAAAAACCGCAGACAAGCTGGAAAAGGTCACTAACTTAACTAGTCAACTTAACTTTCTCCCAATAAGGACCTAAAACCAACTCGGTAGTCCATCGTGATGATCTCCGCCGCTCCCTCCTCCCTCTTTTCTTGCATTTCGACTCTGGATTTCTCGCCCGCACGGCCCATTGTCCCCGCCTCATTGACCCTTCTTCCACTCCCGACAGTCGAGTTCGTCTTCTGGAGGTAAGTTATCCAGCCCAGCTCTATGATGTTGCTCGGACGGAGGTAACTGGGATAAAGAATATTGTGGTCCCGCTATGATGGCGGGGTTGGTGCGGATGGAAAGAACTAAATGGCTAATGACCTGTGCGTCCTGTCTAGATAGCTCAGACGACGTCGTTTGTCTCGATATAGTTCCTGGGTGTGGAAGAGGGATTGTCTGCACGTTCTTGCACTGGAACAAAGCTTTTGTTCATACCATCACGGCCAGGTTGAGTGCGTCCGAGCTTGACTATTGCTTGTGAAGCTGAGTGCTACCACTGTCACGGTTGCTTGAACCTGCACAATCATTTCATATATACGCCAACGTTCACGTTCCCTTGTTGTGGACAGCTGTGCGATCACCAGGCTTGCTGAGGCCTGCTTCATGGACAATTGTGGGACGCTGAACGGTCTGCTCGCACGTTGAGAGACCGCTTTGCGTTCCATAGGGTTCCCCAGCCTGCATCTCACCATCTCCTTCACTGACCCTCACGGTCTTCGCCGGTGACGACGACTAAGCGATCAACACGGAGCACTTCATCTGCCACAGATGGGATACCTCCAGGAATGACTCTTGACAAACACTCTGAACATGCACCCTTCTCACCTCCCCCCCCTCAACCTTCTCCCTTAGCCCGGTCGACGCAAACCACTTTGACGATGGATGAAGCGACACGCAACAAGCTGCTTAAGAGCTACAAGACTCAAGTAGCCTCGGCGTCATCCACTGTCTTCGCTACGCTCGCAGTGGTGAGTGCTACGCGCTACGCGTCAAGAGGTCGAGCAAGAGGAACTGACTAGCTGCTTGCAGACTCCCCTGGAAAACGTCAAAACCCGTATGCAGACGTAAGTAGGGTATTTGCTTGCTACTGCTTCAGATGTACTGACCTTGACAGACACAACTTTCAAAATGTAGCTCAGTGTATCCGCTATTTGTGGCGTACTGAAGGCCCGCGTGGTTACGTGGCTGGTAGGTTGACCTCACCCAGCATTCTTACAGCGGATGTTAATGCAATGTTGAAATCAGGCGCTCTGCCACCTCTTGCAAGCGTTACGGCGGTCAGAGTGATGAACTTTACCACCTATGCCTTTGCCAAAAATAAGGTCTCCGACTTTATCCAGAGATTGACCGGGGAGTCGCCTTTGGAAATCTACGACCAGGAAGGCAGCAGCCCCACTGTTTCTACTGTGGTTACCTTTACCGCTGCTGGTCTTTTTGCAGGACTCGTCAGTTCGCCGGTTGCTTGTAAGACGCGGTTTAAACCATACTCAGAAGTCTACTAACGAGAACAGGTCCCTTTGAGCTTGCGAAGAACGTAGTTCAGACCTCGGTCTTGATGTCCCACCGTTCCCAGGCCTCTAATAATGCGCCCAATGACCCTTCACTGCGTAACATGCCACGTCTTAGCACTACCGAAGCGTTCCGACAGATCTACAAGAGATATGGTTTCCGCGGACTGTACACCGGATTCCATCTTCATGCCCTGCGCGACACCGTCGGTACCGGCCTGTACTTTGGCGTGTATGAGACTGTCAAGCAGATCGCGGAAAGAGAAATGGGTAAGGGAACAGGAGCGCCCGCGATTGCTGGTGCAATCTGCAGCACCATGCCCTGGTTTTGTGTAAGTGTATCCTCTACCGACTGGAGGTGAAGAAGCTAACGAAATAGACCTACCCGCTTGACACCCGCAAGACTCGCGCTCAGAGTGTGCTGCTTGGCAAGTCCAAGGAAGTCGGGGAGGCGGCCTCGGCTATGGCGAAGTCCAGCATCTACAAGGGTTTGTCGATCATTTTGATCCGTACTGCTATCAACAACATGATTCTTCTGAGCATCTACGAATACATGAACAGAAGAATCGATAATCTCGATGGTTAAATCAGGAGCAGGATTGATGAGCTAAATGATTACATTCCTCAACAGCAAAACCGAGCGGAATGCTGAATACATCTACTGAGGTATTGGCTATCTGGAAGATTTCAATACATCTAGGAAGCATTGATGAGCTGGCTGATCAAATACTTCTAAGAAGTGTTGATTATCTGGAAGGTTGAACGTCTACAGAAGTATTGGTGGCTGGTTGATTGAATATACATCACAGCATGGCAGATGAGCTGGCTCATTGAACAGGATATGGTTGGGCATTGGTGGATAGGAAGGATATTGCTCAACTGGAAGTAAATAGTACATACTAGCCGAAAATTTAAATTGATGATGTACATTGCTGCAGCAGGTGTAAGTACACGGTGTATTGTGACACTGCCTTAAGTGGGATGTAACGTACTTCTGCCTCAGGCACCCACAACGTCATGCGTTGCCCGGGTGGGGTTGGGCTTTTCCGTCAACAAAACTTCCGGAGATCTGGCTGCATGTCTATGCTCTCTCGACTGACACGATGGCATCGTACGTGCTACAGCTACATCTACATGATGAATACTGCTAACTCTCTCCAGTAATATCCTCCAGGTCCCGTTTCGGCGGTCGCACTCCGTCACGCTGTCGAATGCCATCACGCAATACATCTCCTCCAAATATGACCAACGCCCGGACATGTTCGCCGAGGATCTCTTGATCATCGAGCGACTGCGAAACGAAGCGATCAATGTCCAGGAGCCTCATGTCAGCGGGGTCAGTCGACTGGTCACCTATGCGGCGCAGCTGAAATGGCTGGGTGGGAAGTTTCCGGTGGATGTGAGTAGATCGACGATGCAGAGGGATAAAGTTAACATGTGCAGGTTGGGGTGGAATTTCCGTGGTATCCTGCGTTTGGATTCAATACTGCTAGACCGAGTAGGTGATATCTATGAGGGATTGGGGTGGTGATGGTGGTGGCTGACCGGTCTCAGTTTCGCAGAATAATATCCGCTTCGAGCTCGCGAACGTCATCTTCAACCTGGCTGCGCTGTATTCGCAGCTGGCGTTTTCCGTGAACCGCACGACATCGGATGGTCTCAAGCAGGCGTGCAACTACTTCTGCCAGGCGGCTGGGGTTCTGACTCACTTGCGGTCGGATATCCTTCCCGATCTGCGGACGTCGCCTCCTGAGGATATGGATGATATGACACTGCAGAGCTTGGAGCAGCTGCTTTTGGCGCAGGCTCAGGAATGTTTCTGGCAGAAGGCTGTCAAGGACGGGCTGAAGGATGCGTCGATTGCTCGGTTGGCGGCCAAGGTCTCGGACTTTTATGCAGAGGCGGGAGATCATGCGGTCAAGTCGAACGCTATCAGTCCTGAGTGGATTCACCATATGACGGCTAAGCATCATCATTTTGCTGCTGCTGCGCAGTACCGGCAGTCTTTGGATTGCTTGGAGAAGCGCAAGTACGGTGAGGAGGTTGCTCGTCTGAGGGACAGCGAGGCATGCGTCAATGAAGCGTTGAAGGAATCGCGCTGGATTAACCGGACTGTGCTCGGTGATCTGCAGGGGTTGAAGACCAGGGTGACGGAGGATTTGAAGCGTGCTGAGAAGGATAATGATATTATCTACCTCAATCCGGTGCCGCCCAAGTCGGAACTCAAGCTGATTGACCGGGCATCTATGGTTGCTGCGAAGGCGCCGTCCCAGGTGACTGATGCTATTTCTATGTTGGGTGAGAACGGGCCTCTGGGGCAGCCGCTGTTCTCTAAGCTGGTGCCGTATGCAGTGCACATTGCTGCTAGCATCTACTCGGATCGTCGGGATCGACTGATCAATGAGAACATCATTGGGGAGTTGGAGAACATGACGGATAAACTCAGGGAGTAAGTTGCCCCACTTTCTTGCTACGCAGGGCTAACCGGTTAGTCTATTGTCCTCTTTGAATCTTCCAGGCTCGCTGCAGGCTCTTGAGAAGCCGCTGGGACTTCCCCCGACACTGGTATCACATGCAGAAGAGATGCGCCAACAGGACGGACTGAACCGGCTGCGCAAGTCACTTGAGGACACGGCAAAGGTCAAGGCCAACGACAGGGCTGTATACAACGAGGGCGTGGAGCTTCTGGCGGCGGAAAAAGCGGAAGATGATGCGTCGCGCCGGAAATTCGGCACCGATCGCTGGTCTCGAGCTTCGTCAGAGGAGGCTGCGCCAAAGTTGTACACGACGTCGCGCGAAATCGAGGGATACTTTACGTCGGCCCAGAGCAGTGATAACCTGGTTGAGCAGAAGCTGAAAGACTCCGCGGCAGTGTTCCGGGTGTTGACTGGCACGAACCGTGATCTGGAGATGTACGTCCCTAGCAGCCGGTGGGCTGCTCTGCCGCCGGAGGTCGAGCGCGAGGTGAGCCGACTACGGGGATGTATGAGCGAGGTGAGCCGTCTGGAGAGCCGGCGGAAACGGCAAGCGCAGGCATTGAAGGACAAGGCGCGGGCGGACGACATCAGTAAGTAACTCGCAATTGTAGTAGGACGAGCTAACAGGTGTAGGCCAAGCATTGATTAAGGAGACGGCACGGCTGGAGCGCGAGTTTCCTATGCAGGCAATCCAGGCCAGCCAGTTCGAGGATCTCTTCGAGGAGCAGCTGCATCTGTATGACACAGACCTAGACATGGTCACACGGGAACAGCAAGACCAAGACGAGATCGCAGCACGGGTGCAGGAAGCCAACCGGGCGTTTACACGGGCACATACCGGCGACGCATCGACCAAGGAGCGCGAGCGGGCGTTGCAGGAGCTGGAGAACGGGTATTTGAAGTACAAGGAAATCTTGTCGAACATCGAAGTGGGGCGGAAGTTCTACAACGATCTGGCGAAGATCGTAGGACGGTTCCGCGACGACAGCAAGGCGTTTGTACATAAGCGACGGATGGAAGCCAGCCAGCTAGAGGGGTAAGCTTATACCAATTGACTTTTGGAATCTAGCTAACTGGGATAGGGACATTTCGAGTGCTGCCGCCATGGCGTCGCTGAATATCTCGCGCCAGCCACAACTGCAGCCGCAACCGCAGCCTCAGCCGCAGCCATCTTATAACGCTCCGGCGCAGATTCAGCAGCCATCCTATAATGCTCCTCCGGCGCAGGTTCAGCAACCATCGTACACTGCTCCTCAAGCAGCACCCAGACCCGAGCCCATGACGGCACCACAGCCTACGCGGGCGAATGCGCGGCCACCGATGACTCCGGGGATCTGGTCACCGGAGATGGGGATACGGTTTGGGGGACAGTGGGATCCGAGCAAGGGAGTGAAGTTTTCATAACGTCCAATTATATGCTAGAGCATATACAGTAAACAGCATTGAATACATACATACATACATGTTCATATCTACATTACAGTGTTGATAGATCTGATCTATATTACTGCAGTGACATCACTACATGGTTATATACACTCCAACCTCACTATATATATATACATACTCTCTCAACCACTACTCTGGAATAGAAATAACCCTCCTCAACACCTCCCCCGCCAACCACGCCCCCTCTCTCGTCCCATCCCACAACCCCATTCCCATCCCGATCCCGGGGCCCACATCCCCTGCAAGTTCATTGAACCTTCGAATCCACCCTTCCCACGTTTTCCTGTCAATAAACCTCACCTTATCCCTATCCCTATCCCTATCCCTATCCCTATCATCACTCCCATCCGAATCCTGATGCTCATTATTCTGTGGATGTGGTGAAACCGACAAAGGCGGAGAATTAGCCGCAGAGGTAGACGTAGAAGCAGATACAGAACCTGATTCGAATTCGTCGAGGGTCAGACCCGCTACTATGTAATCATCCTTTTCTTTCTCTTTCTCTTTCTCTTTCGCTTTCTCCGTATCCTTCTCTTCTTTAGGCTTTTCTTGGTGAGGAGGAGGGGAAGGATGAGGATGGGAAGCAGTACGAATCCCATGTCTTCTCCGCCAGAGATGTTCACCGTAGAGAAGGGCGATGATCGTTGCTGTGAGGATTTGGGTGTTGTTTTGCAGATTGTCATTCTTATCGAGGTGATTAGGATGATTGTGAGGTTGATGATGCTGATGATGCTGATGATGATGCTGATGTGGAAGGTTCTCAAGTATCCGAAGACACGAAATCGCTAGATCATCGATCCATGATCCGACTCCGTCGCTTTCATCCTCCTCCTCCCCATCCCCATCCCCACCCTCATTATTATTATTATTATTATTATTATTATTGGTATGGTCATATCCCCAATCATATTCATCAAACCCATACGCATAATTATCCGAATCACTAGGGGAATGTAATACCCCTTCTCTAGCGAGGAATGCGAGGAATGTGGTGAAGTTGAGCCATGCTTGGTGGAGGATGACTTGATCTTTGGGGTGCCATTTCTGGTGTTCTTGATGTGTATGTGTATTTGGTAAAGGGTGCAGATGCATTCCAAGTACATCTCCAAAATCAGTAAATATTGACCCTACCACGTCTCGGAAATATGGTAGGTAGGCCCATACTAGACTCTTGGTTTTTGTGGGTCGGATTGTCGATTCGGATGCTGAGGAGGGGAGTTTGGGCGGTTTGGGTCTTGAATTTCCTTGGGGTTGAGATTGAGGTTGGGGTGTGTTGGTGTTCTTTCCTGGATCTGATGGTATAGGAGGAGGTGGTGGTGGTGGAGGAGGAGGAGGAGGAGGAACAGGTGTAGCCACAGAATCATGCAAATGGCGAATATAATGCGACCCACCCACCGTCCCATCAAGATATACACCTAGGGATGGGTGGTATAGTTCTTCTTCTTCTGTACTCTCTCCTTCATCATCTCCCCCTCCTTCATTTCCATTTGCAGGGTCATTCTCATTCTTCTCGGTAATATCCCCATTAACACCACCACCACCACCACCACCACCACCACCACCACCATAATAACTATACCTCTCCCTCCCCGCAGAACCACCCACCTGCGAAGCAGCAGAATAAGAATACCTCGACTGCGTCCTCGCACGAATATGCACATGCACATCCGGCATATTCTTGATCGCATGCATCAAGGCAATCAGTTTCTTCTGTGATGGGGTGGGTGTTTGGTGTGTGGAGATGTCTGTGTCGATAGTCTCTTTCTTTATCTTTTCTCCTAGCGTACCACCATCACCATTACCGTTGGACGTGATACTTCTTTCAGCAGTACTAGCTGATGATACCATGATGTTTGTGCAGGGTAGACATCTCCCCGCGTGCAGAATACTGGCCCATAGGTCGTGGACGCATTCATCTGGATTATTATTATTAGTATCATCGTGTATATTAATATATAAGGGGTATGATGATGGTGGGATAGTAGGGGTGTACCTATTCCCTCCCCCCTCTTCTCCACAAACGCACTGATCTCTCCTACAGCCGTCACTACCGAGATCTCCTCCGCCAGATAGAGTTGAATAATGCCCGTGAAAGGATACAGGGATGGGGTGCCTTGGGTCCAGTTGTGGAGGGTGGCGAGGGTGTCAATTTTATGGTCCATCCCGTTCCCTCTTCCTCTCTCTCTCTCTCTACCATGTACTCTATGGTAGTGGGGAGGACATGGTGAATTATTGCGTGTCTGTTTTTAGTAGTTGGAGATGTTGTATCATGTGAACTTGTGTAAGCAAAATTTAGATGGGGGGTGTGTCATGATGTCATGTCATGTGATCGTTATGGCCTAACTAGATACTAGTATGCTAGCTACTTGTATGTACTATGCTTGGTGTTGATTATAATGTACAGGGTATCATCGCTCCGTATTTACTTATCCCTAAGGTTCATGTCCAGGCTCGTATTTGGATTACGGGTTCTCCACCTCCACCTCAGGCATCACCATATCTAGCCCCTCTCCGAGGAAAAAGTCCAGCTCGCTGGGTCCGCCTTGCGAATGTTCGTTTTCTGCTAGCTGCTCCAGCAGACTCAGAAACGGGTCTTTTTCGCCTTCGCCTGTGCCTGTTGCAGCTCCTGCTGCTGTTGCAGTGGCGCTGGAGCTGCCCTGTGACGGGGCGTCTGGCGTTAGTGCCGGTCCGCCCGGCGTGGCTTCAAACGGGAACGTCGCGTACTGGGGCTGTGCGGGCGGTGTCGGTGCAGTGAATGGGTCGGAGAGGAATGGTGCAGGGGAGTTGCTCACTCCTGGTGAAAAGCCTAGACTGCTCTCCGGTAGGGCGAGCTCGGGTTGTGGCCATGTTGGCGATGGTTGGAAGCTGATGGATCCTCGGCCTTGGGAAGGTAGAGTCGATGCAGGCGGGTACATGAGTCTGTTGAAATCGGGTCGGTCCAGTGGTAATCTAAACAAGTCAGCATTATAAGTTAAATGAGAAGGTGGTGGGGATTTACTCGTCTCCATCCACTAATCGCAAATGCGCCCCATCCACGGCTAGCCCCGAATACCGGTCCAGGAAGTCCTCGAGATGGAACACCGGGGCAAACCGCACCGGTCGCGCTGCCATTGTCCGCACCAGCTCGGCATGGCATCCTGAAATACTTTGCAGCATCTCCCGCTGGTGCTGCACCCCCGCCCAGTACTGCCGTAGCCACGACAGCTGGTGCATCTCGCGCGCGAGAAAGTCTGCGCTCGACGCAAACACTTCTCCCTCGCGCCCGTGGTAGTGGACGCCGTGTACGTGTACCGTGCCAGCCGTGCACACGCAGTATGCCACCAGAGCGGGCCACTCGATGCGTGGCGCATGTCGGGCCAGCTCCACCAGCTCGGCGATAGCGTTGGCATGCGAGAAACAGAGCGTTGTCGCCTCGATCTGCCACGACTGGTGCTGTCCGGTACCGCGCAGCTCGACCAGGTCGATGGGCAGAAAGGGCCGATAGAGTAGACAGTGCACGAGGTGGTAAATGAGCTTGCTCAAAAGCAGCAGCGTGCTCTCTGGATGCCCGAACAGCGTTTCAATCGATGCAAACAAATCTTGTGTGCCGGCCGCCCAGAGGTCAAGTTCCTGGCGGATCTTGGATAGGTTGGAGAGGGCGTGCCAGGGAAAATGCGAATCGCCTTTGACGCCTCCCGCGGCGAGGTAGCGGTGCGTGACGCCCAGAATGCGCGTAATGTCGACCAAAAGAGCCGGGCCACCAGGGCCTTTGCGACGGTCCGGAGAGTAATGAATATTAGGGCCCACCGGGTTAAACCATTCGCCCGTTTCAGACCCGCTGCCCGGAAGACGCAGGACGATGGAATGGTCGGCAATAAGACACGGTCGCTTGGAGCCACAGGTGAGAAAGCGATCCATCACGTAGACGGTCCAGAACAATCGCCGTCGCATCTCGCGTTCTGCCGCGGGCAGCGCTGCGGGCGCTTCGCGATACAAGTCCAGCGCCAGTGTCATGGACACCGCATTGGCTGAGCAGTCAGTACCGGTCTGCGGCAGTTGGCGTCGCACATACCTAATACCATGTAGGCTGTTTTGCCACACCCGTAGGCGAAAAAGGTATGACAAAGCAGTAGCAGAGACTGGGTCCCTTCGATGGACGGATTATCAATATCGACCAGCCGTCTTGCCTGACGAGCATACTCCAGGCTGCCTTGCGGTGGGTTCGGTGTAGTATATCTAACAACATCAGCCTAGATATTCTCGACGACCAAGGAACAATATTTACTACCTTAGGGTTAGGGCATAAATCGCCATAGACAGATGCACCGGTAATTGTCCATGCTGATGCCGTTGACGTGTGACCGTTTCATCCAGAATCCAATACGGCTTCCCATGCAGCCGAGCAAAGTAGTTGTCCAGCATGGCATCGGGCAGCCGGTGTTGCTGCGGCTGCGATTGCGGGGGTGGGGGAAAGCCATGAGGCGCCGGGGGAAAGTGGAATGGCGTCGAGGCGGACGGCAGCAGTTGCTGGTCCAAGGATTTGATGGGAGAGGTAGCCGAGGTCGGGGAAATCGGCGAGTCTTCCTGGAGGCGCTTTTCCAGCCCGTCAACACGTTTTAACAAGGCCTCCAGGACATCGGTTTTGGGTCCCCGCTTTTTGGGAACGGCGTCTACCAGAATGAGTAGAGTTCGAATTAATGCGGCAGGCAGAGGATCAGACCATAGATGCATGGACATTGGAAGACCTTGCAGGCCTCGCAGCTGGGACGTAGACGATTACATTTGATCTGGCAATTTCGTCAGATCAACAAGATGATGATGATGATGATTTCACGAAAGATAATAATCTGAGTACCTTTCGCTTTCTGCAGGACTTGCAGTTCATGGACTCGCGGGGTTCGGCATGGACGCGACGGGGAGTGAGACGGTCGATGCTGACCTGGGGGCGGGACATGGCATTGCCTGTGCATAGGAGGGATGGAGAGGATGAAGAGGATGGCGTGGGAGTTGGAATTGTTGTAGTTGAGGAGTGGTTGTGGGGAAGAGAGGAAAGGATGAAATAGTCAAGGAAGAAGAAGAAGAAGAAGCAGAAGCCGAAGAGGAACAGAGAGAGAGCGAGAGAGAAAGTGAGGGAAAAGAAGAAAAGCGAAGTGACCCCGGATTTAAAACCAAAAGCAAACGTGGAGAAGCCGGTGAACTAAGATGGATCTGGTTAGACACTGCGAATGCGGGGAGTTTCTCTTTTTCTTGCATCAGTTGAGTTACTTACTTAGTATGATCATGTTAAGTGGTTGGTGAAAATGTTAAATTCATGCATGAAGCACCAACTCTGTCGGTTAAATATTCCTCGGGATTTTCCCGCTTCCAGCACGGATTCTCGTCCGCAAATCCAGCACTTCTCAAAAGCCATCATCCCCATCTTCCAGGATAGTGCCAGAATATATGGTGAACTGGTGAACATCTTGTCAGAAACCGTCGATCGCAATCTATCACCCTGCAAACCTTTCCAGTCTAGTAAGAGAAGCTATTCTGCAGCCGGCATATGCCCCGGCCCGGCACTCTTAGTATTTAATTTATTTCACTTGCCGTGATTGCTTTTAATATCCATCGTCTGGTGTAGGATGATCACACTGCATCCATCACACCATTACAACGCAGTAGCAGCACCAATACCCCCTACTCAGAGTGGATACAGTTCATTCTCATTTATCATACCGATTTACTCCAATTCTATATCAAGATAACTCAAAACACCCGTCCCGATGCCATACGTACAAAATCAAACGGTACATTCTGTCCCACCAGCAGTCGCAGCGTCTCCACCGTCGTCCATGCATCAACATCTTCAATCCCATACGCCGTCCAGCCGGCTCGCACGGCTACCCCCACCGGATCTCCCGTGCGCTCCCCCCTGGTCAAGTCCAGGTACACTTTCCCCCGAGTCGACGGCGGCGATGTGCGTCCACTCGTCCGGTAGTGCCGCAGCAACGGCTGCACCAGCAGCGACTTCTCTGGTGGCAGCGCCGACACCATCACGAACGGCTGCTCCACCATCTTCACCGATTGGATCGACGTAAACGGCTCCAGTCCCTCCGCCAGCGGGCCGCGCGCCCGGAACCCGACCGTGTGGATCGCACCCACTCCCAGACTGCGCAACGCAAAGATCGTCGCCGACGCTTCGCTCTCGCTCCCCGCTAAGATGATGGCTGCTCGTCCCCGGTACGCCGATGGCACATAGTCCCGCGTCAACGTCGCCCGGATTCCCTTCCACGTCGCATTCTCCCCCATCAACTGCTGTTGCGGTGGCGCTGGCTGCTGTGGCCGCCCAGAGCCCCGCATGGCCACAATCGTATCCACCAGTCCGATCGCTTGCGCTGCTTCGCTGATGGCCGGGATGGTGCTCGTCCCACTGGCGATCGGCGGGTGAACGGATGCTCCCCCAAAGCTCGGCTGCGTGATCACCCGCTCGATCGAGCCCGTGGGACCCCGGTCAATCGAAGTCAGTGTGTGCGGTAGACTGAGCTCATTGAAGCATTTCTCCATAAACATCGACTGCGGCGTGGATCGGAAGGACCCAATCGCGTACAGATCCCGCTTCGGAAGCTGTCCCATGATGTGGAGGGCCTCGTTGATCTCGGCGGCGGTCAGCTGGCCGGGAGCGGCAATCATCGGCAGCAGCGGATGCGTGATAGGCGAAAACACCGTATTGAGTGCACGCGAAAGCTGCCCTAGTTGGCCCATGTTGACTGCCGAGAGCAGTGGGTAGGGCCCGTAGGTCCCCTTGATCGTCGACCGGAAGTACTCCAGTTCGTAGTTGGCCTCGATCGTAGTCACCATGGCAATCATCTTGACAATGTCCGCGTACTTGGCGCTCTCCGCAAAGATCCGGGGTGCCTCTGGAGACGTCCACTTCCACGTCCCGGAGAAATCGTGGAACGCAGACATGATGATGCTGTTTCCTTTGACCTCCGACAACCGTCTCCGGATGTCTTCGGGCAGCCACAGCTCCACATCAATGTACTCCACTCCCCACTGAATCGCCCGCCGCAGATACTTGTAGAAGAGCATCGGGTCATCCATTGGGAATTTGCCGTTCTCCTTGGTGCATCGAGTGGTAAAAATAATGGGCAATTCCGTATGCTGCCGAAGCAGCATCAGCTGCTGCCCTACGTAGCGAAGGCTCGGCACAGACATCTCTGCCCCCTGGGGTGGTTCAGGATCAACCAGCAGATCCACGCGGATTTCGACGGCATCCGACCCCACAGAGA